CATGAATAGCACTTCATGTAGTTGTTGGGGATCCAACTCAAGCCCCCATGTTTGTACAGCTTTACCCACTTAGCCATCTCCCTTGACTCACATTTATCTTTTGAGCCATGCATAGAGTATGCTGCCTCAGCAATCATTATATAGAGGTGACTTTTTCTTCAATACCCAGACTTTATGCCTTCACTCACTGCAAGTAGACTCTCTGCAGACTGATTCGGGCCCCTTCTTACTGTGTGTCATCTTCTGGATGCTTCAACTGTAATATAGACTCACCCATCTCTCTACACACAGTGTGACTGTTAAGTTTCAGATCCTTATTTGTACAACCACTGTCCGCTTATCTGTCTGCCACTCTGATGTCTTAGACATGCCTAGATTCTTGCGACATTTCCTAAGTCCACCACTGACTCCCCTAGTTTCCTCCTTTACTCATACCTTGGTTAATACCACCACCACTCAGGAAGACAGAAAATCTGAGAATTTGAATATTTTGATACGATGCATTCAAGAGTCAACTGGCCCCACAGGACAGAAGCTCTTTTTATTAAAAAATTTATTTTCTGCCACTTTGTGGGACTCAACATTACACTTAAAAAATTATTTAATCTTATTTTATATGTATGAGTATTTGCATACATGTGGCCTATGGACTACATGCCTGCATGGTAACTGTGCTAAATTGTGTCCTCCTTTTGAGATTTCACTGAACTGAGAATATATCTCATTTATCACATTAAACCCAATCCTGTGCAAACCACGGAACCCATCTATATTTAGCTGGTGTATACTTATGTGAATAGAAGACTACACCAAAGAATTTAGTAAAAACTGACATTAAACCAGGCATGAATGAATAGGTAAGGGTTTACAGGGATGAATGAAAGAACAATCCATGACAGTAGATTCTGATCTGTTCTGAGAAAGATTCCTAGGCAGACACCATGTGTAAGGAACAGGAAAAGAAGAAATTGTAGAATGTGAATAGGAAAAGAATTAGAGAAGCAGGCAAGTCAGAGGACAATTCCAGGAGAACCACAGGGAGCCTTTACTTACCAATGCAAACCTGTTAAAATTATCTCACTAATACTCTCATTTGTAAAGACTTCTATGTGTATCTGTCTCTAATCTCTCTCTGCAACATAAGCAAGGTCCCGTTGTCCCACTTAAAAGTAGTAATTTGTTGATATGATCTGCATCTCACACTGAGAATATTCTGGCTTTCTATTGTTCTTTGTTATAAAGTATGTGAAACACGATTCAGCTGAGGCATGTGCTTTGCAATTGGTTGTCCTGTCTCTTCATCTCTCTTCCTCCTAATATTCTCTTCCCAGATACTCTCTTTTCCTTCCCTCTTCATTCTTTTCTCCTTCACTAAATCCTTCCATTTCTCCTATTTTTTCTAGTTATTTTAGCAGACATCAAAATATAGACAAACTCCAGTATAGCCATATGAATTAGCTACTGAGTTGTTTAAGAGTCTGTAACATTGTAAGCAGAAGCAAGGCCAGGAATATACTCCTCTGAACCAGACTTGCTAGCCTACCATTCAGCCCTTGTCAATCACAGCTCCTTCGATATTCCTTGCCCAAGTAGACACTATTTAAACTCTCCAAAAATTGTCTTAACTTTAGTTATAATTTTATCATGTCTGTGTAGGCCCATCCTTAGATATGTAGATTCATTCTCTTTTTAAAATGCTTCACATGTTTCCTTGATCTGTACTTTTCCCTTGTACATCAGGAGAACCCTGCATGAGGACTATAAATTCATGTTTGTTTTCTTTTTGCTCACTTAAAACTCATGATCTTGGTCCAGGCCTTCGTATGCTCTCTGAATTTTTAGACAGCAGTGATCTGCCTCAGGTTATCCCACTTGCAACACCATAGGTAGCATTGTTATCCAATCAGAAGGAAGACGACTATTGTGGACCATGTGATGCTGGTGGTAATGGATGCTCTACGTTTGGACTTATCAACTGGATCTTGCGGAGTGATATTTCAAAACTACCATTATCATTTAATTTATTGGTAGAAATATTTCTATAACAACACACTTATCTGCTCTGTTTTGTAAACTCATAGCATATTACTACCTTTGGAAAGAGAATAATTTTCATTTCTCTTTAATAGTTTTCAAGATCTTGCTCTGATCTTCCCATATAACTAGTTAAAATGTGAAACCACCATTATGGACTGAAGCCACTAAAATTTTTACCATTTTAAATTTCAGGTTGTCTATCTCTAGCTAACAGGAGGTTTTTAAAGTTGATTACTAGGTCATTTCACTAACAATTGATCAAGAAACAGAATTTAAACAGGTGAATTGTACTTGAGAATTTGTCTATTGGCCCCTCGATATCTGACAATTTCCAAGAACGTCATGTATTTTTTTCATTGGATATTTTATTTACATTTCAGATGTGATCCCCTTTCCCCATTCCCCCCCACCCAGGAACCCCCTGTCCCATCCCCCCTCCTCCAGCTTCTATGAGGATGTGCCCTCACCCACCCACCCACCCACTCCCACTCATGAATTCCCCTACACTGTGTCATCCAGCCTTCACTAAACCAAGGACCTCCTCTCCCACCTATGCCTGACTATGCCATCCTCCCCTACATTTAGAGCTGGAGCAATGGGTCCATCCCTATGTGCTCCCAGGCTGGTGGTTTAGACCCTGGGAGCTGTTTGCCGCTCCATGGGGAGAGCAACAATACCAACCAATACCAACAGTGTATTTTGAAACTTTATTATAATGCAAAAATCCTGTTGTTGTGTGTCTTGCTGGCAAAGAGACCTTTTCTCTTTTGTGAACTGTCCATTTTCTCTCTGAAATGCTCACGTATTTAAAATGTCTTTTTTCATATATCTGTGTGGCCACTCCAGGCTTCCTGTTCCTGTTATGTCTTTATTTTTAAACTTCCTTCTTTTACCTCCTATCAATCTTCAGCTGCTGTGCGTTGTCTGAGCATAGACACAGGTGTACATGTGTGTTTGTGTGCATGAGTGTGTATATGATTTTATGCACTTCTATTTGGGCATGTGTATACAGGTGTGTTCATATGCTTTGGTGTGTGCCTCTGTGTCTATATGGGTGCATGTGCTTACACGGGTAGGTGGCTGTGCATGTTTGTGTGTACACATGTATGTGTGTACATATATATGTATAAGTGTGCTTTTCTGTATACATGTGGTGTGTGTATGCTTGTCCATGTGCCTGTGCATATGTGTGTATGTACTAGTGTGTATCCTATGTGTGCATATGTGTATATGTGGTATGTACATGGGTACATATGTTTGGCTGTGGGCTTATGCTTGTGTGTGTGCATATATGTGAATGTGTATGTGTGCTTCTTAGTGTACATGTGATGTGTATATGCTTGTGTGTATGCATATGTGTATTTCTATGTGCACGTCTGTACATGTGTGCATGCTTGTGTTTACTTTGGTTTCATTTGTAAAATAATTTTCTTCATTTTAAATTTTCAATAGGCGATGTAACTTTAGGACATTTTAATTCTATTTTTGCGTCCTGTTTATTCATATATCTTATTTTTTACTGATGCAGGCCTGATTTTTTTAAAGAATCTCCAATAGTATAGCCTTCTGGCAAACTTTCTTTGCTGCAAAACTATTATTGTTTCATGTGCCCATTTCATGAAAGTTAAATGGAACTTGAATTTCTTATTGCTCGCTTTTATGTAAAAAAAAAAAAAAAAAAAGCCTTTTCTGTACTTTAGAATATGGCTGCATGTTCATTATTAACGAGATTCTTCAAAATGCCTCCGTCCTGAGATGTTCCCACTTTTTCCTTCCCCCATGTCAAGTCCATTTTCTTTTTTTCCTTATACTGTGCTAGTCCAACTAAGTTTTTTTCTTTGTCAATAAGTTTGGCATTAACCTGCAGGGCCTCAGGCCTTGAAGGCAGGCATCTTTCTAGTCCTGTAGCTTCTCCTTGCTCTGGCTAGCATTTCTGAGGTAGAGTGATACCAATGGAGACTAGCAGAACTTGCAAGAAGACTTGTGACTTGTCCCAGAGAATGAAGTTTCTTCCACCTTTACCTGCTGATTCTGCTCAAGCCTATCCTAAATTCTACTCACTGTCTGTACACAATGATCCAGGAGGCTCATTGTATTTGATTTAATACAACTGAGACTTCTTATATCTGCACATTCATTTGATTCTTAAGTGACTTACTTAGGTATTTCTTATACCAATTAGTGTATACACACTAAAAGCAAACAGCAATATATGTTGTTAAGGTACTAAAATATTTATACTCAATACATGACCTCCAATTTGTATCTCTTCTGAGAAAATCATGTTCAGAAATCTGACCAGCAATGGTTTTCTTCTGCACCTCCATGCAAACAGTGACTCTAAGGATGCCTACAGGCTATTGTTTGTCTCATTTAGTTTGATGAGAACTTTCTATGGAGTTTGCTGTACACTATGCGTGACCTTTCCAGTATGGTACCTGTGGTCTGTGAGAGTCAAAGGCTGTGCTCCAGTGGCCCCACAAGTGTCCCTTTCCAATATTTGCATTTTTGTATAAAACATTATCCAAATCCTTAGATGCCAGAGAGACCACAAATGGATAGTACCCACAAATGAGGGCAATTAAGAGTACACAGAAAGAATAAATGGTAGTACTGACTCATCAAGGAGCTGAGATTCACGTCAGGAATCAGCACCTTCTGACTTTACAAGGCAGTGAGTGGAAGTGGGAAGTATTACTCAAAATGTTTTCCTAAGTAGTTAACGGAAATTAAGTAGTTAGTTCTGGGACTCCCGCGAACATCACTTGAGAAACAGGAAGCTGAGGCAAAGCAACCCACACCTCTCCTTCTAAAACAGAACAAAACAAGAAAGTGGTAAAAATTTTTATATAGATATTAATAGAGAAATCAAAATTATCCAAAGATTAAAAATATCAGTGTCATTAGGGTTACCATTTAACTCAACAAGCAATTAAAAAAAAAATGTGTCCCAGTTTTCTTACCTTATACCAAGTAACCGATGGTTGGACATTGGAAGGAAAGTAGCCATCTACATTTGGACATGTGATCATATGCATCCCATGTTCAACATATACTCTGTGCACTGGGAGGCTCATGGGGGAATTGAAACAGTTGTCCTTCTGAACAACTTCCAGGGGAAATGCAACTTTGCTGCAGTAAGTTGTGTTCCTGAAAAGAAGCACATGATGATCAAGGATGTCCATCCGCATGTGATTTTATATAGCTGGGACGTCTTTATATGTGTGACTTCTTGTGATTATTAAATGACTTGCTGAGACTTCTTGTAACACTTAGCACCACACACTAAAAAGCGAACATAAGTATCTGCTGCTAATGCACTAAAATACTTACACTGCATACGTGACCTTAAATGTGTTCATTTAGAACAGGGTCCTTCGTAGCATTTTTACTAAGGCAAAGGTAAGGATAGCATGTTTAAGGGTGCAACCAACCTTTGAAAAGTGAATGTTTCCAGGATTTTAGCTTCTGACCAGAAAGCTTTAGAATTTTTGTTGTTGCTTTTTTTTTTTTAAGATCAGACTTTGAATAAAGAGAAATAGAGCCAATCCATAATCCAAAATGTCTATTCAGTGTTATATCAGTCAAGAAAATAGGGAGATTAATAGAAAAAACAAACAAAACAGTCATAAAGAAAACTCCAACATAGTTTTCAAAATTCTTTTATGTACCTACAGGCAAGTGTAAACGGCAAAAACCAGCACAGGGACCATCTTATAATGAGCGGGAAGTGTGTACCAGTGTTTGTCCAGACTGAGCCACATCTCTGTCAAGCTCTGCTCCACGACAGCCTGTCCTGCACTTCTACACTAGGTCTCCTGTACAGTGAGCATCTAGAGAGTCCTTAACTAAATGTACAATAATTGAAAACCATATGAGTATATCATAGCCATCATCTATAACCTTGGTAAGGTATAACTTCATCATTGTCATGTGGATATGAGAATATGAGCAATAAAATACAGAGAAATGAATCTAACTCCAAAGCCTTAAACATGTGGGAACCTATCTAGTAGTTTGAATGAGAATGACCACATAGCCTCAGACATGCTTGGCTCCAGTTGGTAGACCTATTTAGGAAGGACTAAGAAGTGAGACCTTGTTGGAGGAGGTATGTCACTGGTGATGAAGTTTGAGGCTCGCCAAAAGCCCATATCATGTTGAGTTTTCTGTCTCATGGTTATCATCTCAAGACAAGAATTCTCAGCTACCAATTCATCATGATGCCTTCATGCCCTGCTGCCATGATCTTCACTTTGATGGTCATGGACCCTCTGGAAACATAAGCCCTAAATTAAATGTGCCTTTTTATACTTTGCCTTGGTCATGTGTTTACCAGAACAATAGAAAATTAATGACACAGAAGTTAGTATGAGATAGAGGCTCTTGTTATGACAGAATTGGGCATGCTGTTCTGTGGGAGAATGTGGAATCTTTCTGGATTCTGGGCTAGGAAAGCTATTGAATGCTAGAACAGTCCATTCTAGTCAGAGCTGTGAATACAGTCAGTGGAAGATTAATTTAAGGTTCTGCATCCCTAGATGCATGGCAGAGATATCAGCAGTACACAGCAAGTGCACAGCAAAGACAAATGCCAAGCAGAATCAGGGAATGGCTCCTTACCAGGGATTTGGCAATGTTCACCTGGGAAATGTTAAAGAGTAACAATTGTTAAATATGAAAAGGAGATCAAAGGACATGGGTCCTGCTCTTCCACAGTATGGATAAAAATGCCAAAGCTATAGCTTTGTGTACAACCTGCCTTAGTGCACCACTAAGCAGTAGCAAAGGTTTTACTCTTCTGTTTTTCATCCAATGTTCTTTCCAATACAATTGGCATTATGGCCCTACTTATAGCATTTTTTGGACACAGGTAATAAGAACATGGAAATCTGATGCTCATTAGAAGCCCATGTGTGAATCTGAAGTTTCTTCCAATAAGATTATTATTGGATGACAACCTCAAAGGACTCTTCCCTGACTATACAGATTCCCCAAAGGTTCAACAATTCAATGATTTTTTTTTTTGGAATAGAGCAGAGAATCTCTTCACCTAATAAAATAACATACATTTATTAAAACTTTGTTTTAAGCCTCTATCAAAGAAGAGTTAACATCCTTGATAGAGAAAAGAAACAGGCTTACTAATAGAGGATGAAATGTGTTGATACCTTCCATTCATTCAAATGTTAAGATTTTAGCTCACAGAAACTCAGGGCTGGATAATCCTTAGAAGTAGGGCTTTAATGATAAAGATATCATTAAAGCAAATGAGGTCATATACATGGACCTTCATCCAAGACAAATACTTTATTATAAGTAAAGGATAGGGCACAAAGGCTGGAAGAAAAGGTGGAGACAAGATGGCATATGTAAGTCAACTACTAGGAATGAAACCCACCCTGCTGTGTTCTCATTCTTATAACCTCCAAAATTTATTCCAATATCCCTAATAAATAGTGAGAAATTGTGTTAAATAAAGAAAAATCTAACCAACCAATAAACACACACACACAAAAATCCATGTCCTCTATGTGACTTTAGAAAATAAATCATGGCTTGGCAGCAAAAGGATACTCAGAGAGCTAGTCCAGTTGTGGATTTAGGCATTCTAATTTTTTGAAGAAACATCTATATTGATATGTAGAAAAGAAAGTGGGTACTTTAATGGAATTAACAGTAAGGGCTCATAGATGTTTAAAGAACAAAGATGGATTTGGTAAACTTTGGTTGGATGTTGTGGGTTGTAGTTTTGGATTCCAAGGACTACAGTATTCTGAGGAAAATTTTGGTTGAAAATGTAAAAGCACTGTGCTAAATATATTGATGTATCCCAGATAGTCTTTCTTCTATAAACATACTCTGAGGGTATTGTCTCTGCTAGGTACTTTAAAAATAAGCTAAACATAACAGATATGAATATACTCTTCATTGTTCTTTTACTATGGAAAAATGCCACTAGGCAAGGCAAATGTGTAGGCATAATCCAGGGTCATGGAAAGAAGCCAATAAACTCAACCCCATCTTCAGACAACATTGCTATATATCATTTCATAAAACAAACCACTGTGAAGAATACTCTCAAAGACAGAACCTCTCTGAACACCACCTCCCTCCTCCCATTTCAGCTAGGCCACTGAGGTGAGGTATCACCTATCTAAATGTGCCCAGCCCCTGCTCAGTTGCCATGGCATAATCATTTAAATAATACCCTAGGGACTACAAGGACAAGGTAAAGTCAAACCAGAGAAGTAGCCTACCTCAGCATGCAGGTGTAATTCCCCGTGTCATTGAGGAGGGTGGGCCGGAACCAGAGCACATCTTTCTCCTTACTGATGCGATTCTCTGGGAGGCGGAAGTTAATGGGCTCCTCCAGGTCCCGGTCTTGCCTGGTCCAGTACCATATCAGGGTAAGGCCAGAGGAATGGGCAGTGCTATAGTTGTACTTCAGGAAGTGTTCAAAGAGGGGACACTTGATGCGAGCTGGCTCATCTTCAAACACTTGAATTTGTCTCATGGTATCTAGTCCCCAGTCATCACAGCGTTCTGGGAAAAAGCAAAAAGAAAGGGTGGCTGAGCCATTTCAGAGAACTCTCCAGAACACTGATCTTTTCTAGGAGCCTCTTTCTTCAGTCATTTTCAGTAATCTCCCTTGAATAAACATACATAATAAACATGGGCAATGTGAAAGAATTACCTCTCTCCAGTCCTTTATAGTTTTGTGTCGCATCTTTTGGTGCCAGCTATCTCTGTCTTGGAACTGTGCACTCTCTCGGGGACTAAAGAATGATTCTCTTTTAAAGAAGACATGGCTTTATTAAACCATGGAGATAGAAAGGTCTTGATGAAGAAATCATAGTTGGAAAGCCAACTCACATCTAGATGGAAAGAATACTCCTAGTTTTTACCAGGAACTATTGTTTGTGAAGCCAGACCTGTACTTTTCAGCAAAAATATAATGCAAGCCACAAACTCAATGTAAAATACCCACTTGCCACATTAAGAGGACAAAATGAAGCAGGTGAATGAATGGAAATACTATATTTTGTTAATTGATGAATTCAGTAAACCCAAAGTATTAATCATCATCATTTTATACATTTTATACATTTAATCATTAATCATTTTATACATTTTGTGGAGCAAATCTTTAAAATTCAGTGTATTTTACAGCTGTTGTATACCTCAAACTCAGCTGTCTATACATGTCAAGAGATGATCACAGTGTGCAAACAAAACTTCAGAACTTAGAACTGCAGAATAGAACTGCAAAGCTTAGAATATATATATATATATATATATATATATATATGTGAGTGTGTGTGTGTGTGCGTGTGTGTGTACATATATATTTACATAATTATATATACATATATAATATGTAATTACACAAGTATATAAAATATACATATATGTTATAATATGTTTAAATACATAAAACACATACAAGATTTAAACTTAGTAGAAGCTTCCTTACATTCCAATTTACATCTAAAACTTTTCATTTTATTTATAATAAATGGAAATAGGAGTTTTTAAAAATCATACTATAACCAAGGATATTTTAAAATAGTAACCAAGAATCTGAAAGACCTCATGGTAGTTTGAGTGAGAATGGCCTCGTAGGTTCACATGTTTGAATAGTTGGTCTCTACTTGGTGTCACTATTTGGAAAAGATTAACAAATGAGACCTGGTAAGGGTGGGTGTGCCACTTGGGATAGACTTTGAGGTTTCAAAAGACTCCTATCATTGCTGGCTTACTCTCTGCTTCATTAATTTCTCCTGCTTTGTGAACTGTAATCCTCTCAACCATAAGCCCAAGTAAATACTTTCTTTTAAAAGCTGCTTTGGTTGTGTTGTTTCAGAAGTACAGATAAAACACACAAAAAAGAGAGACCTCTACCATGAAAACTGTAAAGTAGTGATTAAGAAAGCCTGGGTAGTCAAAAGGCAGAGCTGCAGGAAGATCTCTAGGAATTTGAGGTCAATCTGGTCCACATAGAATGTTCCAGGCCAGAGAATTGCATAGTGATTTCCAATTTTAAAAGAAATCCAGGAGGACACTAAAAGATGAAAATATATCATTTTCCCAAAGCATCAATGTCAGGAACATGTCCAATGTACTAAAAATCAATTTATAGAGTTAGTGAAATATCTACCAAAATTTCACTGATATTCTTCACAAAAATAGAAAAAATTAATACATTTGCAAAAGTGTTGTGGAAACACAGAAGACCCTAAATATCCACAGAAATTCTGAGCAAAAGAATAAATCTGGAAGTATAGCCACGCTTGATTTCAAGTTATACTACATATTCACAGTCAAAAAGGGCACAAAAATAGACACATGGAACAATAAAGGACATAGAAGGCCACACAATCAGTACCACCTGATTTTTCAACAAAGATGACAAAAAATACACACTGGAAGAAAGATGTCATCTTCAACAAATGGTACTGGGATAAGTGGATATTAGAAGAATGTCAGTAAATCCTTCTCTCTTTCCCTTCACTAAACCAACTCCAAAGAACCCCAGTGTGAGCCTTGCAACTCGGAGCTGTAAAAGGCTAAGTAGGAAGTGCACTTTAAGACAAAGGCACAGGGAAGGGTTTTCTAAATAAGACTCTGATCACTCAGGAAATAATACTAGCAATTGAAGAGTGGATCTGCCTGGTTACAGAGAGAGGGCTTTTCAGGTTCCATGTCCCCACTGTTAGGCAACTCAGCTCAGGTCACCTGCATTGACTTATGGAAGCCTCTCCCATACTTAGTCTCTGAAATTTCCTAGAGATTCCTCCAACTCTTCCACCCCCAGCACCTGCAGATTTCCATTCATTTTTCTGATCTTCTTGATCTTTCTCCTGTCCTGTAGCCAGGCAGGATCTCCCTATAATGAAGGGATAAGAACAACAATCCACCTACAAAATTTTTGACCCAAAATTTCTCATGTCTAAAAGAAATGCAGAAACAAAGATGGAGCAGAGACTGAGGGAATAGCTGACCAGTGACTGGCTCAATTTGGGACCCGCCCCATGAGCAAGCACCAAATCCCTGAGATGATTAATGACACTCTGTTATGCTTGCAGAAAGAAGACTAGCGTAACTGTCCTCTGAGAAGCTCTACCCAGCCGCCAATGGAAAGAGAATCAGAGACCCATAGTTAAACATTGTAGGGAGATCAAGGACTGTTGTGGAAGAGTTGGGGAAGGACTGAAGGCCCTGAAGGGGAAAGGAACTGTATAGGAAGATCAATAGAGTCAATTAACTTAGACCCTTAGGAGCTCTCAGAGATTGAGCCATGAACCAAAGAACATACATGGGCTGGATCGAGGCCCCAGGAAGGTAAGTAGCAGATGTGGAGCTCAGTCTCCATGTGGGTTCCCCAACAACTGGAGTGGGTGCTCTCCCTAAAGCTATAGCCTGACTGGAGTCTGTTCCTTCACAGACCTTCACAGCCTTGCCTGGACTCAGTGGGAGAAGATGAATCTAATGCTCTAAAGACTTGATACGCTGGGTTGATGGGATACCCAGGAGAGCTCACCCTCTCAAGGGGAGGGGCAATGGGGAGGAACTCAATAAGAACGGAAGGGGGAGCCTTTGGGATTTAAACCAGCAAGCAAGCATACAAATAAATAAAAGTGGATCTCATGCAATTAAAGGGTCTATCTAACAAAGAAAACTCGTGATTGAGTGGAGCTGTAGCCCACCAAATCAGAGAAGACCATTGCAAACTACACATGAAACATGAGATTACTGTCTAGATTGTACAAAGAACCTCCAAAAAATGGAATGTCAAAAAAACAAACAACTCAATCAAAAAGACACTATAGTACTGATTCTATCTCACCAAGTTAGAATGACTGCTGCCACCACCACTACCACCACCACCACCACCATCATCATCAAATGGGAGCTAATGCTTGTGAGGACTTGGGGTTAGGGGAAGCCTTATCTACTATTGATGTGGGTATAAATTGACCATGGAAATCAATGTGAATGGATCTTAAAAAGCGACAAACAGGACTACTACATGATCCAGATATACCTATCTTTGTCTTACATCCAAAGGATTCAATATCTTACTACAGAGATAACTGCTCATCATGGTCACTGATACTCTATTCACAATATCTAGGAAATAGAATCAGCTTAGGCATTCATTAACTGATCAAAGGATGAGTAATATGTGATAAACACACACACATATCATGGAATTATATTTCACTGTAAAGAAAAATTAAATTAGGCAGAAAAATGGATGGAACTGGAGAAAGGTATACTAAGGGAGGTAATCCAGGCTCAGAAAGATAAATTTCACATTCCCTCTAAGAAGTGAATTTAGGCTTAAAATTTGTAATTTGAATGTTTACTTTGATGTATTTGTAGAGGTCTGTAAGCTATAAAGGATCCAGGAGAAGTAGAGAGTGAAGAGGCCTCGGGGAGGGAGAGAAGAGTAACAAACACGTGACAGCAAAAGGGGTGACGAATGTTGAGAGTTTTTCATTTAAACAGGAGTGGGAGCGGAGAGATGGGGAAGAAAAGTATGTCATATGTGAATTAGTCAAAACTAACAAGGTTTGAACAGGCTTTATGGAAATCCACTATTTTCTGAGCTAATTAAAAACATGACTTAACAACAACTGAAACAACAACCAAAACAGATGGAATTTGAACAGAGATCCTTCACATGGGTGAATAATATTTCCTACAGAAGAAATATGTAATTAAATGAAAATCTCAGTGCCTACTATGGGATACCTTCCTACAAGCTGTTGACAAGAACATAGGCTATTGTTATTATTCTTAGTTGCCCACCATAGGTAGATGGTATTACATTATTCCTGAATATACCACAGTTTGGTTCAAAAAAACCCCACAAATTAAACTGGAACTGACCAAGAATATTTTTCTATGCTGGCTAGCTCCTACAGTGTTGGAATGTGCTATACAGGCCACTAGAGGTGAAAAATCATCAATGGTTTTATTCACTGGCAGACTTTGCCTAACAAAGTCTGCCCAAAAAGATGTATCCATTTATAAATTAGAGTAATGTATGCTATGAGGGTAACCACTTTCTGATTAGATTTTAGGCCTACTCCACAGTAAAGAATTCATGTCTTGTACTGTAAATATACTTGTTCAAAATCCTGTGGCTGGGGAGGTCAGAACCTTGGTGGAGGATGACTTATTATTGTTGTTTTGCAAAATACACATGGTCTCAGTTTGTGTTCTAAATATTTGTGTTTCTATCCATATATTAGAACTGTTTTCAACTTGGTCAGAAGAGCTTGATTTTGTTTGTTTTGTGGTTTCTGTTCTTTTGTTTTGTTGTTGTTCTGCTTTGCACTGATCAGCAGTCAGTGCAGAGACTCATAAATCATCTAGATGCTGAGAATAATGACTATTGAGTGTTCAGTCCTATCAGCAATCGTCCTATACTCAACAGTGTGAGAACATAACAGTAGATGGGGCTGAAAGAACAAAAGAGGCAGAGAATATCAGAGGGCTTCAAAAAGCTGTCTTCTTGGCATGACTTAGCTATTGTACTCATGAACCCATGAACAGTAGCAGTTGTTACGAACACAAGATATGCACATGATGAAGCCAATCAACATTCCAGCATGGATTTGGAAAATTCTCATGAAGTACAACCCTTAGGCAAACAGCTATTGGCAGGTGACGGGTGATAGGGGATGAGGAGTCTTCTGCAGGGTTGTGGTCACTGGCAGGTGGTCCATGTACCCATGTACATTTGATCATCACTTGTTGGACTCATTAGGTTAGAAAAAAATGTACCTGAAGGTGGGATGGGGACTTGTTGAGGGGCTCCCAGAGGGTTTGCAGAGAGGAGTAAGGTGTGAAAATGACAAATATATATTGTATACATGAAAAATCATCATAATGTAAATTAACTAGTAATATGATCACTGCCTTTTTAATTTTTTTATACATCTCACTTTTAATCACAAGTAATGGAATGATTCAGCATGCATAGGCACTGCAACTGTACTTGCATAAGCAAGCTTTTTTATTTTTAAATAATGTTTTTATTAATTCCTTGAGAATTTTATAGAATGTCTTTTGATCATGTTCATCCTCCTCTAAAATACCTCCCACATCCTCCCCTATCTCCCTATCCACCCAACTTCAAGTTCTCTCCCCCTTTCTTCCTTCTCCTGGTCTAACCACATTTGTTTTTCTTTTTGAAGTTGTATAAATCATAATATCCTCACATTACTTGAATGTTACCATTTTCTAGCACTTAAATTTTTTCATTATCACATCTTCCTGTACAATTTCTTCAAAGTGTGAAAGATATTTTTTTCTGGAATGATCAATTAGCATGATTATATATACCATCTAAATAATATATACAAATTTTATAAGCAGTTGTTAAATATAAAATTACATTGAACTCAGGTATTTTCTTAAAAGATTTTATTTTATATGCATTTTAAATAAAATATATGTATTTTTATTTTTGCCTCCATGTATATATGTACAACACATACATACGTGTTGCCCTCAGAGGAAAGAATAGGACACTGAATTCCCTTGGAACTGGAATTACAGAAAGCTGTGAGACACAATGTGGATACTGGGAACTGAATCAGGGTCGCTGGAAGAGCTGGACCCTCACAGCAGCCCCCATATCCTGTCTCAATAAGCTGAACCATCAGCTTCGGAGTGAGAAGAGTAAGGTTGTAGCTGGCAGTCATCCTTTATATATATCACCATTTAGTACTCATTTTCCTGAAATATTAAACATTACACAAATGGTAAACTCCTCCTTTGAGATGCTTTCATGTTTA